ATGCGGGGCTCAATCCCAGGACCCTGGGATCATGACCTGAGCCGAAGGCAGACGCTTAATGACTGAGCCACCCAGGAGCCCCTATATGACAATGATTTTATAGTATCTTTTTTTTTATAGAGAGAATAGAAAGATGATTTGGTCTTTCCTCTAGCATTATTGATTAAATTTTATTTTTGGAAATTTAAAAAAGTTTCTTTCAACTTTATAACTTATTATGCAAACCCAAGTTCAAATGCCATCCCCACCAAATGCTAGCTCTTCTGTGACCTTGGACATGTGACTTATACCAATGGGAGTTCTACTTTTAAAACCTGTGGCTCTTTCCTTAAATCTAAACTTGCACTGTCCAATATGCTAGCCACTCACCACATGTGGTAATGAGCACTTGAAATGTAACTAGTTTAAACTGAGATGTAAATGGAAATACTCATCTGATTATAAAAATTTAGAACCCCCAAAAGAATCTAAAGCAGATAATTAATTTTTTATATTTCATGTATGTCAAATTATAATATTTATATACATAGCATTAAATAAAATGTATTATCAAAATTAATTTCACCTACTTCTTTTTACTCCTTTCATGTGGCTACTAGAAAATTTAAAATTACATAATATGGCTCATGTTGTAGTTCTTTCGGATGGTATTTCTTTAGACTTTGGTATCCATTATCATGTCAAGAGTAAATCAGAATTCAGTTTTCTAAAAATATTTTGTACTTTCCACATAGAATGTCGTCAGTATATATTATTTCCCCCTTCTTTGTGCTCTAAGAAGAATTTGTCACCTAGAACAAGGTAGATATTATTATGACATTTTGCCTTTTATTATGACATTAATAGGATTAATGTAAAAATAACACAAAATACAGGGGAAGGAAGGGCAAAGAGCATGTCTAGATCTGGGTAGAGGTGGGAGGCAGAGATGGATTTCTGATGGAGGTAACGAAGCTTAAGTTTAAGCTTTAGTGCTCTTCCCTTTGAATGGGTTTCTTCCAAGGCCCTAAGAGGATGTTAGTAATGTGTTTACAGGGTCTTACATTTTGTAGCTCTTGAAATAGCAAGATATTTTAACCACAACCAGTGAAAACATTTGACTCTCTCCACCTTGACTTTCCTTTCATCTTACTCCATCTTGTGTCAAATGGCATTAGGGTGATCACAGGCAATTTTGGGATCTGATTTGAGGACACTTTGATTTTGGGTTTAGTAGGGTATATTTATGTGGTTTGTGAATAATGAAGTTGCTCTTGTTTCATTTCAGAAATGGCTCTTGAGACTACTCCTACACCCCCCCCAGTGACTCCACCCACCAAATGTTGAGATACCAAAGTGAAAGGCAAGAGTTGGTATTGAAATATGAACTTGTCTTGTGGTGCTTGGAAGCAGATATATGTGGTAATGGGAGAGGAAAAAGCTCTATATAATGTTTAAAGCCAGAAACTGGTCTGTGGAAAATTCTACGAATCAGAGAGTAAAGTTACAAGCAGAGGTTTCAGTTTTCATTGGTGCCTTGTTTAGAGGCAAGATCTCTTCTGCCAGAAATATGTTTGATATTGCAGTGAATACAATTATACATTTACTATAGTTTGTTTCTTTTTTTGGTGGGAATTGAATGAAATTGACTGTATCATAATTACTTTGTAGAGCACAGACTATAACAGTACAATGAGAACGAGAAGGCCTGTCTGTGAAGTCACACACATGTGACAGATCACCATGTACTTTCAATATATTTCCAGGGAGAAGATTTAAAAAAAATGGATGTGACATTGCTCAAAATTGTTCTCAAAGTGTGGTGAGGATTTTTGGGGGTCCCTGATATCATTTTGGTACATCAGTGGGTTAAACTACTCTTATAATAATATAAAGATCATATGTTGTCTTTTCATTCTCATTTCTCAAGAGTACACAGTGGAATTTTCCAGCAGCTACACATGTGATATTGTGACAGGTACAGATTGAATGCAGAAGCAGATATGAGAAACCTATCTTTTATTAAGTCAGACATGAGAGATATTTCAAAGATAAATCCATTCTTCTTGCTAAATTTTGTTAATTAAATTAAGCATTCTCATTAAATTTTATAAAACAATATTTTTATGTAAAAATGTTATTTGTATCTACATGTAATTATTTATTATTGATACCTTTAAATGAATGAATAACTAAACATTTTAATTTTTTATTCTTAATTTCTATCATCAAAAATATTTTCAATGATTAATACCTGATAATTCCATTAGGTCCTCATTTAATTTTGTTGAAAGCTAAGAACGAGAAACTACTGAGTTGCAAAAGGTTATTTTCATTCTCAACACCAACACCAATATTTGAAATTCTTCATTTGTTTTGTGTCTTGGAGGTTTTCTATGACTGAGCAATTTTCCACCGTGAGCTCTGTGGTAAGTGAGACATGGGCCTTGTTTTGGTAATGTTGGAAAAGAGGCTCATAAGGAAAGAAGGAGAGAAGGAAGAGGAGACATGTTCTTGGGCAGGGTCAGTCTTTGGAAAGTGGGTTAGTGTTGGAAAGGTTAGGTTTGGAAAGTACACATGTGGTGATTAAGAATGGAGATTGTGTCCTCAAAACCATCTGTTTACCTGTAGTTCTTGGAAAGTCTTCAGGTTCCCCCAGGAGTAGCATGCTCCAGAAAGACACCTGGTCTAGATGGTTTAGTTGGTAATCATACACCTAACCTAATAATTAAAACACACCGAGGAAGGGTGGGACTGGAAGGACAGGTAGTTTCAGTTGGTTGGAATGTTACTGAAAGTCAATAAAATGACTTTCTATAGTGGTGCGGAGTTTGCAGAGCACTTTCAAGCACTATCTACTTTGATAATTGTGTTAACCTATGGGGCATTTATAACAGGGCTTTTTGCTCCATTTTATAGATGAGAAAAATGAGGCTCAGAGAGAATTTTTTTTCATAAACGATCATCTGGGAAATTTCATTATTTTTAAAGATTTTATTTATTTATTTGTCAGAGAGAGAGAGCACAAGCAGGGGAGAGGCAGAAGGAGAGGGAGAAGCAGGCTCCCCGCTGAGCAGGGAGCCCGACATGGGGCTTGATCCCAGGGCCCTGGGAACATGACCTGAGCCGAAGGCAGACGTTTAACTGACTGAGCCATCCAGGCGCCCCTAGGAAATCTTTTGATAGCACTTTCAATTAGTATCACTTGAGACTAATGGAGAAATATTTTTGGAAAATTGAATTCTGATTTACTCTCATTTGGCCATGAAAACCTTGACAATTCATAAGGGTGTTATTCAGATTCTGCAAATCTGAAACACTGTGGCTAACAGATGTTTAACCATTAGGAAATCTTTAACTACCTGAAAAACTTAACATGGAATATATTTTGTGGGTGTATATTTGGATTTGTTCCATACTGATGGGGCTGAATCAAATATAGTGAGGAATGTTATTAAACCTATCTACGTCTTTCCTTGGTGGGAGTTCTACTAGAGTTTGTGTCTGTACCTTCTACTCCCCCCTCCCCCCAACTCTGAATGAACTGCAATTGTCTGAGCGATAAATTTAAATCAGATTAAATTCTTTTTAGACATGTGGAGCAAGAGAATCACCTCTGGTGATTATTTCATATCATTTCTCACTTTTAGATATACCTAGATTAAGCGTTACATGCCCAAATCACTAATTCTGTATATGAGCAACCTGAGGACAGGCAGTATGATTTATAATCCTTTGTTTCCACTTTGTATTTTAGATGTGCTTATAGAAAATTAAAGTTGTGGCTCTTATGGGAGAGAGTGGGTAATTAGTTGGTTGTGAGGAAATAGGAAATTATCCTTTTATTGCTGAATATCCACTTCATGACTGCAGTTCTCCCTACTCCAAAGCAAGTCCTCCATCAGCATGATTTAAGTGTCCCAAGGGAATGTAGTTTCTGAAAGGGTCCACCGTTCTATGCCCAGAAGAAGAGAAAGGGTCAGTTTCAAAATACGTTTAATATGTATATCTTCCAGGTCCATGGTGGCATAGGGCTACATTTCAAAGGCAAATTTATCCATTTAATTATTTTTTTCAAAAGTCATTATTCTCTAGGAAGAGTATGTTTTCTGAAATTTCAAGAACGTTAGGTAAACTAAGAGATTCTTCTGATACTCTCTAGTGTGTCTTCATCTATTCCATGATATGATCAGTGAAGAAGATTCGCATGTATCACCACATCTGTGGTGCCTTAGTTGAAAAAATTTGAAACAGCTTACTGAATTCCTGGAAGAAAATAAAACATTTTTAAGAAGTAGGTAAAAGGCATATTGGATTTAAACATTTTTACTTGAGATCAAATTTCTTTTCTAGGAGCAAGAGTATCAATATCAAATCATTCTTTTATTTCCAAGGACATTTGATTCTAGACATCCCTGCATGTTAAATGATTATCTCTGCATTTTGGTGCTTAAAGAGTTTAGTTTTGCAACATTTCTTAAGTCCCATCTCAAGAGAATGGCACGCGTGCTCACCTACGTGCTAACTCCCATCTATGACTAGTGGCTGCAACAGTATGTTAAGAAGGTTTTGTGGCTCATCCATGATCAGTGAGTGGACAAGAGTATGATGATTGATTAATTGTGTCTGCTGTGGGCCTGTATCTGTTTGGGGGTCAGAGGATGATGAGGAAGGGAGCACACAGTCTGTTCTCAAAGACTTCCAGATCCAACCTAGATAGAAAATATGTTATGCCAGCAATTAAATGTCCCATTTCTGGGTTGATATGGTAGGATTGGTGGCCTAGTAAAAATAGTCCCTCACATTGCAGGAATCAATTGTGAGTGTTAGGTAAAGGGGATCCCTGATTTTATTAGGATCTGTATTGGTCAAGGCAAGATAAAGAACTCTGTTTCCACTCTGCAGATGACTTTCCTGAGGCATTTTCCTGGCTCAGAGAATTTACCATTTGGAGGCCCAGTGGAGGTTTCCTGGGTGGTGTGCATGCCCCTTTGGATGCCTGCAGGGGCGGTCACACCAAAGTCATCGTCTGTGTCGCTGGGAGTTGGGGAGAAGCCCTCTGGAGTTCCCTGGATGGCAGGATTCACTCCTGCTTGCCCCGCAGGAAGGATTCCATTCCGGGCATCTGGATTAGCTGGACTGGGGGGCAGGATGGCTCCTGGGAACAGTGGCTGAAAAAGGAGGCCTGTGAAGATTTGGGGGGCCACCGGCTGGAAGGAGGAAAGGAAAAGGCAAACAAAGTCAAAAGGACACATTTGAATGCTGGTCAACCAGCCTCTCCTCCTTTGAGGGCAACAAGTTGGGGCAGGAATGGCAGGATGGAAAGGGCAGAGTCAGAGAAAATAATAAAGACTGGGCATTCCTCAGAAGAAATGCCTCCCTCTCCTGAGCAAACCTGATGCTAGTTTCATGACTACAATTCGATGCTGTATTTTATTTCCCTCAAAGAGGGTAAGTCACAATCATGGGAGAAGGAATAACAAATAATTTGTTCATCTTAGGTGTATTTGGAGGTAGAACTAAGGCAGGAAATCCATACAATTATGCTGGGCTATCTCTCTGCTATTTACCTAAATTATAGTCTCTCATTTGCCCAGAATTTTTAAAAGTAATTAAAGAGACTAAAAATTAATAGAAAAATTAGTCAATCAACCCTCATCTCATGATTTGCATCTCTTCAAGTTTCTTTTTATTTATTTATTTTTGAAGGCATTGGAATATTCAGTCAGAAATACTTCCCTCGTCAATTCAGCAACTTGTATATTCCTTGAGGTTACTCAATGAACTCCTCTGTGTAGGTCTGTCAATGATTTGCATACTGGAAATAAATGTTGTTGCTGGCTACATTTATTTTTTTTTCCTGGAAAAAATTACTGTAAGAAGTTCCTCTTAAGAAGAAATAAGTATAAACTGGATTTGGAGAAAGTTCAGTCAGGGACTTGTTCTCTGAAACCCCTCAGTTCTCATGATGTTGACATAGAATAAAAAGGGTTGAGGGCTCATAATTAAGATACAGGTCAGTTTCCTTGAGCATAGTTCCTAATTGTTAGTTTGTATAAAACCTCCTGAGAAGTTTGTTTAAAATTCCCAGGCTCCACTGTTAGAGAGATTCTGATTGAGCTGATCTAGGGCAGGATCCAGAAATCTGCATTTTTTTAATCAGCACCCTGAGTTGTCTTGATTTGGTGATCCAAGACTGAAGTTTGGGAAACACTGTCTTAGATTTACCAGGTACTAAAGCCAGAAGTAGACTTATGCCAGAAGAGAGACAGGAGTGGAATACAGATGTTTTCAAGCAAGGGGTCATGGTATTCATAGATTTGAAATAAAAAGGTGGTAATGCCCATCATTAAAAAATAAGACACAAAGAATAGACTGTAAATTACCAAATTCATTCTGTACAGGGTAAATACTATTTCATGAAGTGTGTGTGTGTGTGTGTGTGTTAGCTGCATGAAAAATACAGCTGTTACTTAAAAAAAGTTTGAAAACCACTGGTATAGCAGATAGAAAAATGACTTTCGATCTGAATCTACTATTTCTTGACCTTGGGGCCTAACTAGCTTAAGTTCTCTGAGCCTCAGTTTCGTTATCTGTAAAGCTGGGTTAAAAATCTGTGCTTTGTGATGGATACTAAGGAGGGCACGTGATGTGATGAGCACTGGGTATTATACGCAACTAATGAATCATTGAACACTACATCAAAAACTAATGATGTACTATACAGTGGCTAACTGAACATAATAAAAAAATAAAAAAGCCATCATTAAAGAGGAAAAAAATATTTGTTTTGCTTAAAAAAAAATCTGTGCTTTGTGATGTGCCTGACAGACTCAGTCCATAGAGCATGCAACTCTTGATCTTGGAGTCATGAGTTCAAGCCCCACGTTGGGCATAGTTTACTTAAAAGAAAATCTGTAGTTTGTAACTTGATGAGGATTAAGGGCAATGTATGTAAAAGATCTGCCAAGGTGCCTGTTACACAAAATTGTCTTAATAACTGGTAGATGTGGGTGTTCATGTACTATTGTTGCAAAACAGCCCCATTGATTTTATTTGTGAACAATCTAGTGAATCTCTACTTTTTTCATAATAGAAAGATTTAAAAGAAAACCTGTCTTCCCAGTTATTGCCTCGACTCTTAACTTCAGCGTCATGTTTAGATACCACATTAATTCAAGTCAGTGTTTCCTAAAAGTGACTTATGGGGCAATTTATAGAAGTGTCTAATAATGGTAAGATGAATTTTATTTAGGTTCAGCCCTCTAGTTATTCATGTGTACAGGGAAGAGTCCATGCATCATTATAAGATGCTAGAAAAATAACATATTTTCCTATAAAAATAAAAAATTTAAGCCAAGAAAATTAATCTTTCCTGCAATAAATACCAGTATGTATATTATTCTACATTGCATGCTTTTTAATAATTTATAATCCTAGATTTTAATCATATAAAGTTTAAAAATATGCATTGAATTTCTGGATAGAACTGAATCTAATATCAGTATATGGGAAAAAAAAGCTAAGTAAAATTAATGGAAAAGTAGCTGGAGAAGAAGAGTGAAATCCTCAGCTAGACAAAGGTATCTTGATGCAAGGCTCTATAAAAAATGTTCAGTTTACAGTAGTATGCACCAGGTTTAGGGGTTGTGGTCAAGAGAGATTGTGTGGAGACAGAAAGCAGGACTGTGATAGCAGTGAGAAGAATTTGAAATGCTAGTAATTATTATTATTTTTTTTACCAATTCCTCTGAACTAAGGATAGCACCCTAAAAGGAAAATAATAACACATTATTAGACAAATTTTAATATATTTGAGACAAAATATATATAACATAATTTAAAAACTTAAAATACTTGTAAAATTTGTAAAGAGGGGATTTTAAATTTTTGACAATATTTTAACTGCCTTTATGACTTGTTTCACATAACTTAAGTCAGCATGTGATATTGGACTGCTAATACCTAATATCTGAGCGATGTGAAGTCTTCTGCATTTTAAAAGTTATACATTTTTCTATTATTAAGTAATACATGCACATTGGAGGAAACTTGGAAAATGCAGAAAGCAACAAAGGAAAAAAAATAACATCCCATCGTACAGTTTGATGGATTTTCTTCCAGATGTTTTTCACACATTTCTTTTTTACATAATGGAAGCTATTCCTATAATTTATATAAGTCATTTATATAATTTGGGTCTTACTTTTTTTTTAATATTACAATCATTTAAACTTACTAGTGACAAATACAAGTAAATGTACGTTTGGAATGGTTACAAAGTATTTGCTTTTACATTGCACCATCTATTCAATCTTATTTTCCTTTTGTTTAAATTTAAGTTGCACCCGATTTTTTTTCTCTACCTCAAATATTATTATTTTGAGGAATATATTTGTAAATAGACCTTTGCTGTATTTCAGATTATTTCACTGGGATGTGTTCCCAGCTGTGGAATTAAGAATTGATACAAACTTTATATCTCATTCTGCTTCAGAAGTAAAAGCTACTACCTGATGCATGTCATATATGATCTTGACCCTTGGTAATTTTATCAATGATCTCAAGTATTACCTTTCACAAAGGCAAATAGGGAGAGAGGAAAGTGTTTGTGTCATTTTTAGGGAAAAGATACATAGTTAAATAAATTTGAGATTAAAAAAGAAATCCCCCAAATCATTAATCATTAGATCAGTCCCATTAACTTATTTTTTTCTTAGCTGTATGCTTTAAAGAATTGACTGGTTCACCCTTGATATTTACTAACTGTGTGATTGTAACTGAATAACTGTATCTCCAATTACTCGTCTTCAAATTATAAATAAAAATATTATCATCAAAGGTTGCTTTGAATACTGAGATAGTATATAACAAATAATAAAATACCTAGAACAGTGCCTGGTGCATAGTAAATGCTCAATAAGGGCCAGCTCATAATTATCAGTGTTCATACAGTGCAAAGTAAATAGGAAACTTGGCAACTATCTGGTAAATTGAAGCAGGATGACATATTTCACACTATGATGATTTAAAATAAAAATCACATTACAAAATAATCTTACATGGGCTCCAAGGTATGCTACAATAACTGGTAACATCTGAAAAAGAGTGAAAAATTCAATTAAAATATATTCAAAGGTAAGTTCTAGCAGATGATACAAATACTGAGATTTTCTTAAAAGTACACAATATTCATTGAAGAAGTATTTGTTACCAATGTATCAGCTATAGTCATAGATAGAAACCCATAAAGTTGCTTGGGATTTGGAACTCACCCAATTTGTAAAAAGCGTATTTAGACCCAGAGAGATTTAGAAACTTTAGTCCAAGGCAACACATTCAGGAGGTAGAAGTTACTGAATAGGATGGACAAAAAATAATTTTGGTCTCAAGCTACCTCCAACCTGAAAGTTATTACACGTAATAGTAATAGTAAAATGCATGTTTCTTTTATATGGCATCTCAGAAGACACATTAAAGATGGATTTTTAAAATACAAAGATTTATCAAAGCATATATGTTTAGTCTTATAATGGTTACCTGGATATTTTGCTGTTAAAATAGAGCACTGGTAGAAAATTATGGATGATATTCTATCATTTTGATACTGGCAGAGTTCTTAGAAATAAGTGAGAAATAATTTACTGGTCACTGATAACCACTTAAATGTTATGAAATTTTAGTTGAAAAGATTTGGGTGAGGTGTTGGCATGTGCTAGTACTCTAAGAACTAACCTAGAGTTTGTCCAAGAGAACTAGTGTTTTAAAGTTTATTTTTTTTCTATAGACATTCACATAGTGTCATGAAAGTCATCAAAATGGGAATTCTAACACTAACCAACCCAAAATATGCGAAAGTCTTATGAAACAGACTCTTAACTTTGTTATTTCCCAAGATAGTTTGTTCAGTAATACCCATAATGCCAAAAGGTATCTACATTTAACTATATACATTTAAGAAAAAAGCCTTACTGTCAGTCAGATCCTTGGCTACTGACGATAAAAAAAAAAACAATTTTCAGAATGGTGATTGGAAAGTAGGGTGAAGGGAAGGGGCACTCAGGATTTGGAAAAAAGCATAATTGAGATTTATAAAGGCCATTTCGAAGGAACAAAAAGATACAAATAGGAAACCACAGTTGTGTAAGTAAAAAGTGTAATTAAAGATAATTTAGTTTTTCACCAATGTAACAATAAGGAGAAAAATTTTTTATTAGTTTTTGGTAGAGAAATTGTTTGAAATAAAAATAGCTAACACTGAGTGTTTACTGTGTGGTAGGCACTGTTCTAAGTGTTTTATGTTTATTTGCTCATTTAATCCTTATAACAGCCCTAGAGGTAGGTTCTACTTTAATCCCTATTTTAAATCATGAGGAAAATGAGCCACGGAGTGGTGAAGCAACTTGACCACACACATAGTAACCAGAGAGCTGGGATTTGACCAGAGTTTCGTGGTTCTAGAGTTTACCCTTAACCACATTGGCCTTGCTTTGATAAATGAGAGCTGTGGACGGGTGCCCAGGTTTCTGGCAGAGGATATAGGCCACTCTGCATAGGGAGACACAGGATTGGAGGGCTGGGGCTGCACAGGAGGTCAAAGAGGTGTTGGCATATCCTGGAGACATTGAAGAATCCCTACTGAGAATGGGGATTGATTTACATTAGTGCATATTGGGGAGCGTGCAATATCGAACTGTCTCTGCTCAACCTTCGGTGACATCCAGGACCTGGAGTACATGACCTGAGCCAAAAGCAGACACTTAACCATCTGAGCCACCCAGGTGCCCCATCTTTCTTTCTTTCTTTTTTTTTTAAAGGTTTTATCTATTTATTTGAGAGTGAGGGAGAGTGAGAGAGAGAGCACGAGTGGGGTGAGGAGCTGAGGGAGAAGCAGACTCCTCACTGAGCAGGGAGCTTGATGCAGGGATCCCAGCACCCTGGGATCATGACCTGAGCCAGAGACAGACGCTTAACCAACTGAGCCACCAAGGCACCCCTCCAGTGGATATTCTTTGGTGAATATGAAGATGTACTAAATTGGGCTTCAAGATTAGAGCAGGGCAACAATTGAAACTGAAGCTGGGAAGGTAGCATATGGATTATATCAGGGTCATGTGTTAAAGAAATTCTCATTTTATTTGCCTGTATCTCTAGTCTTTTTCAGAGGATCACTTTTATTATTAAGATATAAATAAGCGGGGTGCCTGGGTGGCTCAGTTGGTTAAGCGGCTGCCTTCAGCTCGGGTCGTGATCCCAGAGTCCTGGGATCAAGCCCCGCATCGGGCTCCCTGCTCGGCGGGGAGCCTGCTTCTCCCTCTCCCTCTGCCTGCCTCTCTGCCTACTTGTTCTCTCTCTCTATCTCTCT